ATAACCTACATTGCAACGTTGACCTCGAAATACTCCAATTGCGATATGATCAGAAAACATAATTGTATTATGTAGCTCTTATGTCGATTGAGATTTCACTTCAGTGACGCAATATTTATAATCTGGAAAGTTTGCGAACTTAATTTGGAAATAAATTTCCAAACTGATAATATTGAAAGTAAGTAGGAAAATCACCTCTCACCCTTCGGGAACCCAAGAACTCCATGCCTTGAGCTATCTGGTAGGCCCAAGAGACCAGATTGGTAGTTGTGAATTGCTTGGTGAGATCGCTGCCTCTTGAAGACTCCCGACTTGTGTTCGTAGTCGGCGCGCCATTTCTTGGATTGTGCTCTTCTGCGAGACGATTGATTCTGTTCATTCTTTTAAATTCCTTTTTAACGAGTAAAAATCAGCAGCCGAAGAAATGAACAGGAAGCAAAAGTGAAACTATGAACAACAATGATCGTGCATCAGCCAAGAATTTCACTGAAGCTGAAGGAAATGTAATTCTTTCTAATGACGACTTTCAAACGACGAGAGACGAGAAGCAGGAGGGGACTTTCCAAAAACAGAAACAAGAGCAATGTTTCTAGCCATTGAGTTATCACTCCGGGCTCCGTATGATATATATTATGGATGGAAAAATAAACAAAATAATTTTGTAGTCCAACATAAAATATTTTGTGCATGTGAATTAAATATCTATATATAAGTATAATTGGCAAGTTTGTTTTCCCTTTGGGCAAACAGTTTCAGATTTCTAACTTTTCTAGCACATGGTTAGAATTAGCGTCTGTCAGTCACTCACTCAGGTGCTCTTGATCGTCTATATATATCAGATACGTTAATGTTTGCTTGTAAGCCGCGTTGCAACATTATACAAATGAATCATATCATGTTATGCATCGTTCAAAAGCTTATGGTCAGTAGGTGTACACCGTGCAATCAAAATCAAAATATCATCAATCGAGGATGAGTTATGAGCTATACAATTTTTATCACTATGCTACCCCGGTAGAGCCCTGCACGGGCTGATTTTTCGGTATCTGATCCGGTAGGCCCAATTCAAGTCATGGCCCGCACCCGGTGCGGTCTATGTCTACAATTATCGATCTTGTGCTGCAGCTAAGCTTTCTCATTGAATTGCTGAAAAGTGATCAATTGTGGCAGTGGGGAAGGTGTGTAGGGTGATGGAATATCATACCAATAGGAGACACTGAAATCTTGGCATGAAAGGCAACGGAATCCATGAGGAGTCCTCCGTCGGGATTATCAGAGTCGATTATCGGTGGAAATATATTACAACTCGGACCACCTTCCCTGTTTTGGGAAGAAGTTCTTGCAATATGAATATGTCCTTATGAAATGTATGAAAAGTAAGATGCCCCACCCTCGAGTTCCCCGTCTCTGACCCCCTGGAGTAGCACCATCGTAAGCAGAGTCACCAGTAGGAGGCCGTTGACTCCCAATGTCGGAATCGAAAATGCCAGTTTCGGGATCGATCTGATTGATGAAGTACGGTCGATTCACCCTCAGATACTTCTCCAGACATCCGAAGGGGCAATACTCCATAATCATCATCAGATTGCCTGATATGAAGATCGTCTTTTTTTAAGTTTCCACGTGAAAATGGGTGAAATGAGACTAGGCCAGTAGCTCAAATTATAACATGATGAAGAGTAAATCAGCGACTGCAGAAGATTCGTCAAGAAAACGTTTGAATATAAAGGAAGTATAGAATTAAGTGAAGAAAAAGAAGCTTTAATGTCGAGTTAAATTGTGGTTCTCCTTTCAATGACTGCAGAGAACAGGAAGAGTATGGAGCAAGTGGGGATTAGAGAATGAAATAAGGGACGACGTGACGCTGTACCTGAAAAAAAAGTTTAGGCTCATAACTGGCTCTCTCAATTTTCAGTGATACATTATTACAGTCATGGCTGTATTTTGATTGATTATAACTTTTCAAGGGAAAGTAAGATTCAGGTGATATTTGACAGAGAGGTTCATGAGTCAAAGAGGCTTTTTTCCCATACCGTAAGATGGCGCTGCATGCCGATAGAGGGCGATGATGTCGACAGCAGCGCCACCTACATACTTGTTATGTCATTTTTTAGGCACTGCAAAAAATTTGTTCATGCCTATGAATCACTGCTAAATATCAGCTGCATACGAGAGTTCTTTCAAACGATATGGTCAATGCTGGATTTTGAATTGTAACAATTGAATTTCGTTTGGTTGACTTTTCCTTAAAAAGCCATGCAAACAAAATTCAATTGTTACATGCCACCATTCAAGTTCATATGACCATATCTTTTAAAAGAACTCTAGGATGCAGCTGATATTTGGCAGTGATTCATAGGCATGAACGAATTTTTCCAAGTGCCTAAAAAATGACATAGCAAGTAGGTAGGTGGTGCTGCTGTCGACATCATCGCCCTCTATCGGCATGAGGTGCCATCTTGCGGTATGAGAAAAAAACCTCCTTCACCCATGAATCTCTCCGTAAAATATCACCTGAATCTGACTTTCCCTTGAAAAGTTATAACCAATGAAAATAGGGTCGTGACTATAATAATCCTGTATCACTGAAAACTGAGAGTCAGTTTTGAGCCTAAAACTGTTTCTTTCCCGCAAGTTTTGGTGCCGTTTAACTTCGTTTTGAGAGCCATATCAATGACCAAAATTTGGTGAAAATCTGAAATTATCACTTGGGAAGTGTCCTTTTGTCAGTCTGAGTGACTCGAGGCCTGGATACTGCCAAGACTTCTGGATTTCCTGATATTAAATTTCTTACCAATTCAAAGTTTCCCAGAAAAAAATAGCTGTGGACTGCAGTTTTAGACAAGGTAACCTATTCTCTATCTCATGTCAATCTGTCTGCAAAATATGGCAATGCAGTTTTTGGCCCAAAAGCCGAACTCGTGCAAATCAACATCTCATGAATGGGAATTCTTCGCCAAGTTCAAATACGTATTCCCCACCCCCCATCCCCCCAATATATATATATATAGATCGATGTTTCAAAGCCAATAAAATT